AAAAAAAAAAAAAAAAAAAAGTCTTAAAAGGGCATGTATCATCTTTTTACCTGTCCTTCACAAGCTTCTCTGTAGAATTCTAGTCTCTTCAACAGTTCCTCATTTTCTGTCTCAAAATCAGTCATCTTCTTTTGATAATATTCCATAAGCTCCTGAGAAGGATGGAGGACGGCCAGACGATCTTCAAGGGAAGGGAAAGGAGTGGATGGCGTTGCCTCTGCCATCTCTTTTGTCCTGGTGGTACCACTGACACGGAAGGCAACACGGTGCTTGGGGACAATTTTTGGCCTATGTAAAATTAGAAAGGATGTATTCATTAAACTCTGTGAACATTAAGTTGGCTTGGTGCCCGTAGCTCAGTGAGCAGGGCTCCAGCCACATATAGCGAGGCTGGCAGGTTCAATGACAACTACAGCAAGAAAATAGCTGGGGTGGCATCTGTGGCTCAGTGGGTAGGGCACTGGCCCCATAAACCGAGGGTGGTGGGTTCGAACCTGGCCCTGGCCAAACTGCAACCGAAAAAATAGCTAGACATTGTGGTAGGCGCCTGTAGTCCCTGGTATTCAGGAGGCTGAGACAAGAGAATTGCTTAAGTCCAAGAGTTGGAGGTTGCGGTGAGCTGTGATGCTATGGCACTCTACCAAGGGTGACAGTGTGAGACTCTGTCTCAAAAAAATAAATAAATAAAAATAAAAAGTAAATAAGTAAAGGTGGATTAAAAATACACATTAGATTGACATACTCCCACTTAATGGCCACAATGTGAGAGTATCCCTCCTGGGTGGGATACCACAACAACAGAGACCTCACTTAACAAACACAAATATTGGGCTCAGTGCCTGTGGCTCAAGCGGCTAAGATGCCAGCCATGTACACCTGAGCTGGTGGGTTCAAATCCAGCCTGGGACTGCCAAACGACGGCTGCAACCAAAAAATAGCCGGGCGTTGTGGCGGGCACCTGTAATCCCAGCTACTTGGGAGGTGGAGGCAGGAGACTCGCTTGAGCCCAGGAGTTGGAGGTTGCTGTGAGCTGTGATGCCAT